TGCTCTGGGGTGAGGCGGGGCGGGGGGGGGCGGCGGCGACGGCGGCAGCGGCGGCGGGGGAGAGGAGGGGAGAGAGGGGAAAGGCCCCGACAAACTCTCTGCATCTAACTCCTCATCCGATCCTGGTTCATGCATGGGAATATTCATGCTGGGGCTGTCAGGAGCAGGAGTCGGAGCAGGGGTGGTAGCCGGAGTCGGAGCACATATGGGGCCCGTAGGAGTCTCACTGGGATCTTCCTGGAACCTGTGCATCTCTGGATCGGCTCTCTGCATCTTAGTCGTTCCTGCCGCGAAGTCTGGTGCGGGCTCGAAATCCACACCTATCTCTGGCAGATAAAACTTGCATAGGTCGGCGCACAACGCGCTCTCGTCGAATGGCTGCTCGTCGTTGTCAGCATCTGCATAGATGCTCTGACTAGAGGCTGCAATGGCTGCTGCTAAACGTGCACACATCTGCTCTGGATATGTTTTCTTGGCATGCGTCTTAAAGACCTTACGCCCTCCAACAAGTTCCTTCCCCTGCAGTATTTTGTGCACTCCTTTCCCGTGGTGACACCAGCCATTGCCTGGTCCTTCGCACAGGCGTCGTCGCAAACGTGGCATCCTCAGTCCGAGGAGACGCGTGGGAGCTCTTCCAAACTCCGCAGGGTCTCGATCTGTCGGCTGCAACGTGCATTGGTCACATTGGTCAGAGTCGGCCGTGCTCGTGATGGGGGCTGAGGCTAGGGCCTCTAGGGGCTCCCAGTGGAAGCTGCTGGGGGCCTCTGGCCTCCAGTGGGCCGGGAGGGGATGTTCGATCCACCCAGAGGTCCCCGCCACCATGTGGCAGCCCAAGAGGAACACCAGGTTCTGCAGTAACGTATTGGCCGCATGTAGTTGGAGGGCCTGTCGTTCAGAAATCCACGGGACGCCCCAGTACCACTCATGTGTACGTAGTGGGGGGGGACCCCCGTCCAGCCATCTGGCCGCGCTCCAGGTTTCACAGGGGGGCCCCCCCCCTGTGTTCCACACCCGTCTAGCCAAGATGTGTTCACCCCACTGTGCGATAGTATCTGTGCGCATGAGGTCCCCCATGTCTGTGTCAATGGCTATGTCCACTGAAAGCATGATAATATGGTAGGCTGTCGCAACATGCTCCTGCTCAATCCAGGCCTGAACGTCGCCTTCGCGTCGCCTGCCTGAAAAAAGGTTGAGCACAAAAATCTCCTTTCTGTGCACCCGTACGGGTATCCACTCGGCGGCTGGTCCACTGAAATCCTGCGGTCGATATCTGTAGTATCTGTCACTGTACGTAAGTCCTTCCTGCACTGCTGGCTGGGGGGGATCAGTGAAGAGAGCTGTGTATGCTGATAATGCAGTAGGCCCTATTTCGTATGCATGTGTACGAAGAAGTTCCTTGGCCTCACTCTCAGAGAAAAAGGCTGCTGCAAACATGGCTGCTGGGTAGAGCCCTTCCATTGGATATTGTACATGTGCTGGGAATGCTGCTCTCCATCTGCCTAGTCCTGCACGTCGCTGCTTCGCATGCAAGTCGAGATCTGCTTGTCGCAGCTCCTCCGCCCTCTCTGGAGGGACCGTGGTTCCGTGCAAAATGTAGGCCAGCTGGCACACAGCAGCGTCAAAGGCAAGGTGATCCCTGAGAAGACGCCGAGAGGAGAAGGCCATAGAGCACGCCATGCATACTGTCCCCTCCCCCATGAACCTGGATACCACATGTACCTGGCTGTAGTGTACGCGCACGATGTGCTGTCGCGTGCTCTTTGCAGTCTTACCCACATAGTCACACCACATGCATCGGAGATCGGCTTGCACCTGTGGGGGGGGGATGGAGAGGGTGATTCACGTTCGTGATCGGTATTGGTACTCCTGCTGGGTGCACAAGCTGAAAGAAATCCTGCTGCGCCTTGTCGGCCAAGGCTGCTCTTGCCGCTGCATCTGCGTGCGCAGCGAGGGTGGCGTGCAATACTTTCTTCCAAGCTGGGAGTGACTGTAATATTCGAACTTCCCATGCCTGGAAGTCCTCAGCTGGATCTGGCATATCACGAAGTCGGCAGTTGGTGGTTCGCACCCACTGTAAGTCCTGTAGTACTCTGTGTAGCCATGTATGTTTGTGTATGTGCGCCTTGCGATAAGCATGCGTATGTAGGCTGCGTAGCGTAGGTGTGCCATGATGTAAGAGGCGACCCAGCAAGCGTAACCTGTGTACTCTAAGCACCGCACGTAAGTCCGCCCGTCGTACCCGTGCCAGTATGAGCCTGTCGGTGTCGGCTTCGGAGTCCTTCTGAGGGGCCCTCAGAACCTGACGATATTTGTTGATGATCAGGTGCTGGATGTGCGCGTGCTGAGCTTCCGTGAGCTCGGGCCATGTACCTGCGTTGTAGAGGAGGCCCGCGAAAATAAGCGTGTCCACAAAGTGCAGAGTGGCCTGTGGTGGGAGCCCAATAGGGGAGCCAAAGACCCGTCTACGCAGTAGTGTACTAGACGACCTCACAGACGCTTCCCGATGGGCCAGCTCGGGCCCGATGGATCCCAATTCGTCCAGCTGCGTGCCCAAGTGTGGGCATGTCCTCACTGCAAGCAGGGTGAAGCGTCCTAGAAGCTCTGATTGGATCTCGAAGCGGCCTTCACGTTCGAGCCATAACTCCCGTTTGGCACGCTTGGCGCCAACTCCTCTAAGTTGAAACAACACCTCCGTCTTGCCTGCGGCGAAATTGAGCCTGAGGCCTCTTCTCACAAAGCTGGCAGCGACCACTGCCGCTACCTTGGGCGCGGCTTCAAGCAAGTGCAGAGCTGCTCCTAGGACAACAATCGCACCATCATCAAAAAAGCATACCCCTAATCCTCCTCGCATAGTGTCGGGTGCTTGCTGCATCATGTCAGACATTGAAGCATGTAATGAAATAGGTATACGTAGGTCTAGCTCCAGCTCCTGCAGTCCCTGCTGAGCTTCCTTCACGCATGCTGCCATTACGTAGTTGAAAATTACGTCGCCTAGCTGCTGTCCTGGTACCGCTCCTTCAAGCGAAAAAGCAACTGCTGACGCTCCTGGGTACCAAAACCAATTGCCTGAGTAGCTAGATGCTGTGAGCGCACGTGTGTGTCGTGATATCCCTGCGTGTTCCAGTATGGTGCGGTGCTCAGCCATATGAGCCTTGAGGTCCTCAATGGCACCAGGTGGGAGCCCCGCTGTGTGTAGTATGCTGTGTCGGTCCGCATCTGAGGTGCCCAACTGCATAACTAGCTCGCGCACTGCCCGATAAAAAGCTGAGACTGCGTCAAGCATGAAAAAGAGCGCTGATAGCTTGAGCGTCTGTGCGAGTTCCTGGAATGAGCGTGTAGCAAGCGCTGCAAGGTCAACTCCTCTCCCCGCAATTCCTCCATACTGCGAGTCCCCTGCATATGCAGGGAGGGCCTCGGCTAGCGGCACTCGCAGTAGCTGTCGGTGTTTTTTTTTCCCAGGCTGGGAGGATATCATCACAGACCGATGATTCTTGCATATGGCAGGGGTAGCTTTCTTCTTCCAGATGTTCCAGTAGTTGCCCCCCTTCCATTGCAAGGGTTCCTCGATGCGGGTACAAGCTTTGCCAACCACAGGATAGAACAGGGCCCCCAGGGCCGTGGCAAAACTTCTGAGAAGGGCCCCTGGGATACCGTTTAGGCTGGCAGCTGAGGGCTTGGCAGTGCGGCAAGCTCTTTGGTAGTTGGAGAGGGTCGGGAGGAACACTTCCTCATCTGGGATGGCATGTGTGAGATCCTGAGGAAGGGATGGGATACTTCGCGCAAAAGTGCTGGCGTCGGCAACTGGCACTACCACTCCCACTTCTTCTGCCGCAAAGTGGCGAAGCCATCTATCTGCTGCTTCCTCATGTGCGGCAGCCATGCTGCCATCCTCTAGCTCCAGGGTGGGTAGGGCTCTGGTGTTTACCTTCTTGGACGAGTCTATTCCCATAGCACGTAATTTGGCAAACACCTGGTCATACTGCCTGCGATCCCATGCGTCCGAGACTCCCTGCACAAGGTTGTTGTAATGATGCAAGGCATCTTGCATAGTCGCATGTCGGATCAGTAGTGTAATATGAAAAAGTAGCAGCTCACGATGTGCTAGGACACAAGCGCGCACTCCATGCGCATAGTCCCAGCAGCAGATAATATAGTCCCATATTCCCGTCTCCATCCCATGTCCCGTTTGATACTCCTTTGGTCTGAAAGGGGGAGGTAGTATGATGGCCGTGACCCCTTGATGACCCCATTGAGCAAGTAAACGTGGTTTGCCTATGCCTCTACCGTTGCCTTGCTGCCTGCGTATGTCCGCTTCTCGGCACAAGAGCGATGCCGTTGCTTGCGGAAGGAGGAGACAAGGCTGCTGTAGCTCCCGCGTGCGTCTTACCAAAGTAGGCAGGCAGGGCATGCGTGCTCTTTTGCTAGGGCCACGTGGCCTCTCATGTTCTGCCTCTGTCGTCGCAAAATGCAGCTGCCAGGCGAAAAAGATGATGCGTACCATGGCTCTGTGAGCCTGCAGCCCGATCTTGCGAGCTAGGCGTAAGTATATACTTCGCTCATGCTGCATAGCAAGTGTGCTGACGCTGATCCAGGATTGCCGAGGTTGCCGTCCCGTCGCTGTCGTACGTACTAGAAAGGCTGTCGCCATGGCGTATCTCACGTATTCTTCACAGGCTTTGACATGATCTATACTGTGTACTGCAAAGTCGGGCTGTCGGAACGGCGAAAGCAAGTGTTGGAATAACCTGGCGGACACTGGATCCTTGTACATGTCAGGATCGCGCTGCACCTTGTAGGGCCTCGGTGCCGTTGGCACGAAGCTGGATGGTGGGAAAAATAAGCATGCTGCCACCACGTTGTGGTCTGGCTGCGTGACTGTGAGGTCGATGCCGTGATCGACTCCTTGCGCCGGCACACGTATATCAGAGGACACTGCTATGTAGTCACGCCTCTTAGGTGTGGTGCGTGCTCCTGGGGCCGTCCAGGTACCCGCAGATCCCGAGGGGTCTTCGTAAAAGGTGGATGGAGCCCATTGGGCTGTGCCCTGGACGAACATACGGAAACTGTGCCCCGGTAGGTTTTCAGGCTCCGCATGTATGGGCCCTACGTGTGCGTCTGTGTATGATCCCACTGCTGCATTGGCGTCTATCAGTGTAACCACATGCTCTGCAGTACCCCTGTGCTGTGTCATAAGCTGCTGTAATTGTTTCCACCACTGTCGTATATGTGCTGGGGGTCGGCGCGATTGCGGAGCATGGGCAACACATGCACAAAGTGAGAGCGAAGGGGCCCTTACGGCCACGATCATGATATCTGGCGCTGCATGTAGCACCTGACAGTGAGAAGGCTGTACCGTGCATCCCTCCTGATACTCCCAGTGTGTGTTGATCCATACAGTACATCCATCCCCTCCGGAGTCGTTAGCCTGGGCGTGCAACAGGAAGTACGGGCCAAGCTCGGAGGTGCCTGTCCGTCTGAGACGCGTCTCAACTGTGCCTACTATCAAGTAGGGCCGCTGCGCAAACTGCCCCGCCAGCTGCATCATGCGGCCTGTGGCGTTGAAACCTTGAAACTTGTCGTGTGCCTGTCGGGAACCCTTGTAGGCTCGGGGGTCCAGCGAGAGCACATTGGCCATGGCCATCCAGCTCATGGCAAAGACATGTCGGCCTCGTGGGGGTCTCTTAGGGATCGGTAAGATTTCCCGAATGCCCGTAGTGGGGACCTGAGGCGTAGGGAGAGGCGTACCGTGGTTGGGTGGGTGAGCCTGTCGCATGCTGGAGTCGGAGAAGAGTAACCAAATCCAGGGTAGGGCCTTTTGGTGGGGGTCCTGATGTATAAGGGATCTCCACGCTGGCTCTATGAAATCAGGTAATACACGCATGGCGTACAAGCGCGCAAGCGTGTCGACGCACTCGTTCCACGGATGCGCAGTGTGCCCATGTACGTGCTCGTACGCCACCACAATCACACCCGCGCGTATGATCTGCGTAAGACTGCCAAGTAACGTCTTAGCAGATAACATCACGCCATGCACATATCCTCCTTGGTATATACGCAGCACGTCCATGTTGTCCGCGTGGAAACATATCGGAGCTTGTCTGCAACACAATGGTGCTTGCAAAAGCCAAGCTGTGGCCCAAATGGCCGCTTCTAGCTCAGCTCTTAACGGGGCTCTCGCATCAGAAGCATCCCACCCCTGCAGAGGACCAGCAAGATATCCTAGGAAAGAGACTCCGAGAGTGGTGACAGCAAGAACACAGAAAGCCCATGCTGGTGAGCACATCTGTCCCTGATGTTTGAAGGTTCCTGCCGTCGCATCTGTGTATATCTTGAGATGGTCGATCTGGGCCTTCGGGTCAAAAGGTACAAGACTGGTGAAGGCTGACACTGTAGATGAATGCCAAAACTGTGCCCACGACAGCAAGTCATTGGAAAGCTGAATGGGCCATTTCTTCTCTAGCAACTTCTTGGTAGAGTGGAGCGGCGGTATGGGAGAGTAAGGGGCACCTGGCGTTGATTCCACTGGGTGGCTGTGAATCTGGTATCCGAGGTGCTCCGAGTGATTTTCCCTTGGCCTGTCCTCTTCGCTGGGGAATGGGCTAGCTGGAAAATCAGGATCTTGGATGGGAATATTTGAATTCAAAGCGGGCCGAGACGCTTCTGACGCGGCCCCTAGCGAAAAACTGGCGCGGCGGCTGACGTGGCAGCAGCAGCGGCCAAAAGCTCGCTGTCGCTGTCATCCTTGCCTGCAGGCTCAGCCTCGGCCCCTGTGGGCTGCCTGGCAGTGTCCTCCGCCTGAGCAGCCTCTCTCTGGGCGATGTCGGCTGCGCCCGCTCCCATCGATCCTTCTCCCGCCGTGCCTGCGCGCATGGTCTTTGCACCTGCTTGTCCGCTGTCTTCATGCCGACGCGGGGAGGCTGATCTCGCTGTGGCGCGGCCCCTCAGCAGCGCTGCCATGCGGGCACGACCTGCCTGCTGGGCCGCTGGATCGGCGGGCTGCTGGAACTTCTTGGGGCCGTTCGACTGCGCCGCCATGACCTGCTGGGCTGCTTCCATTGCGGCCTGGCGCATCTTGTTCATGTCCTCCTCCGTCTCCGTTCTGAGCGTACTGATCTCCGTCTGCAACGTGGTGACTACATTCTGGAAGTTCCTCATGTTGGCGAGCAGCTGTGCGTTGCTCTGTTGCAGCGCTGCGAGCAGCGTGGGCGTGGCGATGTCATTCGCTGCCGCAGACTGATCCTCTCCAGGTGGTGATACCTGCTGGTGAGGCTGCGCAGCTGCCCTCGGAGGGGTGGCTGCTACATCTGCTTGGCTGGCTCCTTTCCCTGACGTCATGGGCCATGCGGGCTGGCCTGTGCGCGAGGGGGTGGTCGCTGCAGTTGAGGCCGCTGATGCCTTTCCTGGCGACTGAGGTGTCGGAGCTCTGTGTCCTGGTCGAAAGTGTCCTGCGGGGCCATCTTCCTCGGCCATGCGAATGTCATCATCGTCGTCTTGATCATTTGCTGCTCTTGCTGACATGATTGGTAGCGAATCCTCGAGCTCCTCAAAGTGCTCAAGTAGCTGCTCTGCCTGTGTAACTTCCTCTTGCAAACGCTGACATTGGACTTCTGCTGCGTCGATCTGTTCATATAGAAGATTCAACTTCGCAGTGGCATCTGTCAGGCGTCTGCGGCATCTGTTGACAAATAACCTTTGCTTAGTCACTCTTGCCTGTGGCGAACGGCTGTGCATGAGCTGATACAACACGACTGCATATTCTTCTTGCAGAGCCGAAATTTGCTGGTCATCTAATGTGAGAGCATCTGCGCAACGTATTTGTCTCTCCAACGATTCCATGGTGGATGTCAGAGCTTTGCGATATTCTCCCAGCAATTCAGGATCCTCTGGTGGATCTCTCCATCTTTTGTGACTGGTGGCAATCTCAGGCGAGGCAGGTAGCAAATGTATAAGATCATCATGGGGCTCTTGCTGGTCACCTGTCGTAGATTTTGCTGCATCTCCATGCGTCGGCTGAGCTGAGGCTGCTCTTCTTCTCGGGGCACGTGACGCTGATCTCGTGCGCCATGGTCGCTCACTCGACTGCTGAGACATGGAGGGAAAGCAATTCTTGCATGTGTATGAGTCCCAGGGGTTGGCACACGCGCACGCTGGACATTCCCACAACTTCTTGAAACTTTGTTCTGGAATTGCCGTGATCCTTGTCTGGCACCCATTGGACTGGAATGGTGCTGTCGGAGTAGTTCTGCTGCTGCTGCCACCTGCACTAGCACTCGAGCTCGGCTTCGAACTTGTCGCTGGCGGCGATGCCACGCGGGGTCCACCCGCGTTCGTCTGCCTGTCTCCGTGGCAGATGTCTGGACACGGCTGCCCTGCTGCGCGCTGTGCGCGGCGGGCGGGCACGTATGGCAGCAGTCCCGTGGAGGCTCGCAGGGCGTCGGTACTGGGTACCTGGGCGCTGCACCCAAAGCCTCGAACCGGGACGGCGGCTACGACAACGACGAGGGAGGAGGGAAAACGACGACGACGACGACAACGACGACGACGACGACGGCGACGAAATAGGACGGACACGGCGACGACGACGACGACGACGCAAGAGCGCGCGGGCACGCTTTTGTTGAAAATCTGTGTTGCGACACCTTTTGTTTTTGTAGGTTTTTTTGACACACGATCTTGAAATCCTTCCGAAACAGATGGGTTTTGAAGGATTTCGGCATACGCGTGCGACAACGCGCGCGGCTGCACTTCGTCCCGTTTGTTGCAGAGGATTTTCGCGACGGCACACGCGCAAGGGCGTTCGACAGATTCCGACATGCGCGCGCGAAGCCCGTTTGGTAGCATGTTATGAAAATATTGAACAACCTCTGGTTTTCTTAAGATTTCGCAAGAGCTCGCGCGTAAGCTTTTTTAGCAAAGCAGTGTTGCGAAACCTTGTGTTTTTGTATGTGTTTTGAAAACTCGGTTGCGAAATCCTTCCGACACCGAAGGATTTTGAAGGATTTCGGCATGCGCGCGCGACGGCGCGCGCGTGCACTTCGTCCCGATTTTTGCAGAAAGGGTTAGTGAAAAAGTCTTATGTTAGAACAACACATGTCCCCGCGTATTGTTTTTTACCAAGGAACCTCAGGGGGACCGATACCGGTTCCCCGGGGATAATGTAAACTCATATTTCGTGTGGACATGTGGTCAGAATCGTATATGATTTACATACCCGAAAGGGGGACCGATAACGCCGGGGGGGGGGGTTGAGTCTATTCTCTTTTTGGAAAGGAGAAATCATTTCTGCTCGCAGTGAGTTGTCCACTCCACTGCTCGCGCAAACATCCCACCCACCCACCCGCAACTTGGTCTGCAAACTCCCTTAAGACCGTGACGGTGGATACCAAATGGCACTTGGCAACGACAGCGACGCCGACGACGACAGCGACAACGACGACGACGACGCCGCCGACAACGACTACGGCGACACCGGCGACGTCTCCAACGACTTCGACGACGCCGGCAACGACGACGACGACGACACCGACGACGACGACGCCGACGCCGACGACGATGACAACGACGACGACGATGACGACACCGACGACGACGACAGCGACGACACCGACGACGACGACGACGTCAACGACGCCGACGACGACGACGACGACGACGACGACGGCGGCGACGACGACGACGCCGACGTCGACGACGACGAAGACGACGACGCCGAAGCAACGACGACGACGAAGACGACGACGAGGGAGGAGGGAGGACGACGACGGCGACAACGACGACAACGAGGGAGGACGGCGACGACGCGAACGACGAAGGAGGAAGGACGGCGACGCCGACGACGACAACGACGAGGGAGGAGGGAAGACGACGACGACGACGACGACGACGGCGACGAAATAGGAGGGACGACGACGAGACGCCGACGACGGACGACGACGACGACGTGGGAGGAGGAGGAAGGACGACCACGGCGACAACGACGACGGAAATGACGACGACGCCAAAGAGGACGACGACGATGAACACGAGGAAAGACACAGGACGACGCAGGCGACGACGACGACGAAGACGACGTCGACGTCGCTAACGCAGACGACGACGCGGGAGGAGGGAGGACGGCGACGACGACGACGACGCAAGAGCGCGCGCGCGTTTTTGTTGAAAATCCGTGTTGCGAAATCTTGTGCTTTTGTAAGTTTCTTTTGGCACACGATCTTGAAATCCTTCCGAAGCCGATGGGTTTTGAACGATTTCGGCATACGCGCGCGACAACGCGCGCGTCTGCACTTCGTCCCATTTGTTGCAGAAGATTCTCGCGACGGCACACGCGCAAGGGCGTTCGACAGATTTCTACATGCGCGCGCGCGAAGCCCGTTTGGTAGCATTTTGTGAAAATCTTGAAAAACCTATGATGTTCTTAAGATTTCGCAAGGGCTCGCGCGTAAGTTTTTTAGCAAATCAATTGCGAAACCCTGTGTTTTTGTATTGTGGGAACTCGATTGCGAAAGCCTTCCGACACCGAACGTTTTGTGGAGGGTTTCGGCATGCGCGCGCGACGACGCGCGCGTGCGCACTTCGTTCCATTCTGTATAAGGGATTAATGAAAAAGTCTTATGCTCGAACAAAAAATGTCCCCGCGTATTGTTTGTTGCA